TTTCACAAACATAATACATTTATATATAATACATTACATAAGTGAGACTAACGTAATAGATGCCATAGTGTGTAGTTCAATGTTTCCTCTTCATTGTACTCCTAATTTTCAGATTTCCGTTTCCGAAAATGCCCGTTTGAAGGCAACAGTCTGGTTTTTATTACAAAAGTGAGACTAACATTACAGAGCCCAGAGTTTGTAGTTCAATGTTCCCTTTTCATTGTACTCCTAATTTGCCCATTTCCATATACTAAACTGGTCGTTTAACGGCAATAGTCTAGTCCCTATTACAAGAGAAGACTAACATTATAAATGCCAAAGTCTGCAGTTCAATGTCTCCCCTTTCATTGTGCTCCTAATTTTCCCATTGCCGTATCCTAAAGTGCCCCTTGTACGATGGACATAGTCTTGTCCATATTACATAAGTGGGACTAAATTATTATACTTGTTGAGATAAAGAAGTGAGTCTATGTATGTTTGTTTTCAAGTAAATTCACTAATACAACATAGAAAAAGTCGCAGGCACCAGCTGGTTTGTAATTTTTTTTATCAATAGTTGCTTCAGAATTATATAGCAGTTTTCTTCTTTAGTCAGATAAGAATTAGGTTCAATATCTATTGCAATTATCACGAGGGTACATAATAGTTATTACTCAATCATTTTCAAGCCGCGTGTTATTAAAGCAGATGTTTTTTAAGATAACGAAATAAAACACCAGAGTTGTTACGAAGATCCATTCATAAATTATGTATAATGAGAGTCGTTACTTGTAAATGTTTTAAAGTGTCATAAAAGTTAATTTTCTGTTTCATATTTTCATTCTGGAATATTTTACAAGTGTGACTTTACTGCTATACCAATTAGAAATAAAGAAACATTATCTGCGAGTCTTATAGACTATGTATTTTTTGTATGTTTTATGTTAACGACAAATTAAGAAAAAAAACAACATTTATCGTAACGCACATGTTCAAATATCACCGATTTGGGTGACTACTTAAAAAACATTACTTAATAATTGAATTTAATTCAAAATACACATAACATTATTTATGGAAATTACTAAAATGATGATGTGAAAACCATTATTTAAATCTATCTAAAACAAAATGAATCGTCGAAATATATGCGCATAACTTCCGAACGACTGAACAAAAGGATATTATTCTTTTTTGTGTTCGTTACTGTCAGGACAAGGTTTATGTAAAAGAAAATAAAAAGAAATCAGACAGACTTTTTTTAAATCTCATAATATGAAAGTGGGTTAGTTAATTAAACAGAAGACTGTGAGATTTCTATACTAATAGATTTAGATTAGATTTAAATTAGAAAGAGGTAAAGTTTGTGGGTTTGTATGTTCGGGGTAATCTGGAACTGCGGGTTGAAATTAAAATATTCTTTTAGTATTAGATAGCCCTCTTCACGAAGAAAAACATAGTCGGGAAAATCATCAATCATGATACAACCAATAGGAGCGGAGTATCAATGAAAACGTTTTGGGAGTAGCAGACGAAGTTGCGCGGGTCAGCTAGTTTATAATAATTGTATAAATATAGAAATTTAATAAAATGAAGTACTTTTGAAACATAATATAATAGGCATATAGTATTATGTTAATAAGTATTCAATAAGCAATTAAGCAAGCTCAAACAATTTTCAGCAACCATTTGTCGACATGATTGACTTGTTCGTACAGAATTTTAGTAACTTTGACCTTTGATTCCTTAAACAGCAATAGCCAACTCCTTGATTTTGAGTTTCTTTCATCTAAAATTGTATTACATTGATATTAATATATTCAATTTCCCAAATATGTTACAAATGTCGACAAGTATGGCAATTTATTTTTAATTATTCTTTGTAATTTTGTTGTATAATTCACTAATATTTTTTATGGCACAAGTACCTGAATAGAATGGGGCGCGAGGAGACGGCACTGGGACTCCACCCAGCCCACGCTGGAAGACTGCCCCGCGTGGGCGTCTCAACGCGAAGTCCTGGTCGACTAAATCGGACAAGACTTGTCCCCACCAGCAATCATTGCTGCCATGCTGGCGGGTGAGGAGGAATGGATTGGTCTCTTTCTGTGAAGTTGTAATGCGCCAGAAAGGGACCGCTGAACGGGATCCGGAGAGGGCCGATCCTGACCGTTGAGGACGTCGGCGACGATACCAGCCGTCGATGGGGCCGCGGGCCGCCAGAGAGTGGCAGGTTGATTGATGCGGTAGGGGATAGGATGGCCGTCTGATTGCGATAAAACGCAATTGGGCCGCCACGTCGCAATTATAGGGAGACGTGTTTTCCCCTGGGATAGTGCTTGATTAGGCATGGTGTCAATTCGGGGAGGACTTGAAAAAAAATAGTCCGGGTCCTCCCAGAGGAAAGCATCTGAGGCCGGCCGTCGGGATGGTTTTTAGTGGTATCACCACATACTCCTTATTCCTGAGTCCCCGAGGAGCAGGCGATCCTTAGGGATTTTCCACCACGTCAACAAAACAAAAGAAAAGGCGTGATAAAATAATAAACATGACGTGAAGCTATTTGTCTGAAGTTTAAAAGTTTACCACTAGTGTCATAATCAAGTTATTAAAAAATTATGTTGAGGTAATTTAGATATCAGTAGAAGAAGTTAACATAGATATATTGACGCAGAAAGGTTTGAATTTTTTAAACTAAAAATATATTTGGAAACGAAGAACAATAGGTAGAAGATTAACAGATATTGACGTAAGCGATAACTTGGAAGAAATGCTCACATAATTAAAAGTATAGATAATATAACAATTTAAGAATAATATACAGTATTAAAGAAAAATAAAGGAAAGTGATTTTTTAAAACATAAAGTATATTTATGAAGCATCTATGTCTTAAAATAAATATAAATTTTGAGGAATCACTTTTAATCTTAATCTTCTTAGGGTATTTTTACCCAAATGGTTGAAGCTTATTATTACTAGTTGTTGTAAGATTCACCTAAGGGAGCAAACTACGCAGGATAACAGCACTACAAAGTGAAAGAAAACTTGAAACAAACCCTTTTTTTATGTGTGGAAACTCCCTGGGGCCCTCACCCCACCGGGCTTTGCGGTGTCTCGGAATCAGACCGACTAAAACCACACGGTGTGCCACTCTGCACCTGAAATAGGAGGGATCCGAGAACTGCTGTTATTAAAACATCTGGATTCCTCCTAGCAACTTGAAACAAACCCTATACCAAACCGTCTAGCCAGCGTGGAATCACATCAACAGCCTTTAATAGTCCACTACTGGACATAAGCCTCTCCTCAGAAAGGAGGTTTTTCTCAGCGTGCATTAGTAAGCCAAAACCTTATATTAATCCTTTAATAGTTCATTGCTGGAGTGGATGATAACTCAAACTATTAATTTAATTTATTTATATATTAGTACCCATATATTTTAAAAACTAAATATTCTTTTAATTTTTTTAATGGATGTCCGGCAAATATTTTAAGTACTTTATTAGCAGTTTTACAGATCTAGCAAACCGTGTCTATTCATTCTAACTTCACTACTATCAGTTACATGTATCTACGGCTCCGCTAAATAGAGCTTGTAACCTGAAAACATTTTTATACTTTCACAAAACCCTGCCCTCTGCCCTTGAGATAAAAGGTTTTTTTTTATAAAATAAAACACAAAAGTATAGCAAAAACACTGATTTCTCATTTCTTGACAACATTTCAATTATTTACAATATTATATTAATTAGTGAAAAACAAAACAAATATTTCGTACAGGGAAGAATTCCTTACACTTCAGTCGATATTAATATTATGTAAATGAAATTGTTCTTAATGTCCGACCGACAAAAACAACCATGTATTTTACATTGGCACGACGGCATTAAAAGTGTGTCTGTCTGTCTGTTACCTCTTCATGCTTAAACAGCTGAACCAATTTAAATGAAATTTAATATAGAGACAGTCCGAGACCCGGGAAAGGACTTAGGGTAGTTATTGCCCCAGAAATCATACTTTAGGTGGGTAGAAGTTTAAATGGGGATTAAATACCGCTGAACCGATTTAGATGAAATTTGGTATGGAGATACTTTGATTCTTGAGGAAAGACATATGCTATTTTTACCACGATAACCGACATTTCCGAGTGCGAGCCGTGGGCATAAGCTAGTACAAAATAAATCCTAGTCTGTTAAGAAGATACTGTAACTTTGTAGCTTTTATACCTTTTTTATGTTATAGGAGGGCAAACGACTGACTGTGACTACCGCGGCCCATGGACACGTGTAACTCCACAGTCTCAAAGGGTAACATCACTGACTTGGTGAAAAACTGTGAAAGAACAGCCTAACACTGGTTTCTTGTGGGGCCGTGGTATCACTCCGGTAGAGCTTGAACCATATGTGCCGAAGTACGGCTCTCTGACTAGAATCTACCTATAGTTGTTTTACTAATATCTGCCTTTGCAGAACTCTGGAAACTCTGATTATTATAAAGTAAAATAGTATGAAATGTTTAAGCTCGTCTTTAACTCTTTACAATGTTGTTTTGACTTAACAAACAAGAGTTGCAGCAGCGATTTTGACTGCTTCGATTGAGGTTTAATCGGTCGAACATCACTATAATATAGAACACCGTTTCATAATTTCGTCGGCAAATTATTATTACATATTGCATATATATATAACGGTACAATAAGAGATATATATATATATATATATATATAGATATATAAATTTATAATAAAACAAGCACATGTTAATAGCGGGTAGGATGTGATACCGAATCCACGGCGTGGATATTTTGTAGTTATTCATTTCAAATTATATGTAATAAACATAAACACATTCACATTTAAAGTTGAAGAAATCTGAAGTTTTTCTTTATGATTTTTGTCAACTTACAACACCATCCTATCAGCTATTCGCTGCCTAACCGCAACACAACAAAACTCACAACAATGGTATTTTTGTTACTGAAAAATGCTCTGGCCTGAAATCTGAAATAAACTAAGAGAATCATGAGAAAAGACAAATTGGATCGGACTATTCTCAATAAACATGTTAAAAATATTAAACATGTTCAATTTATGACAGCATGTTTGAAGATTCTCAACGAATTACATAATGTGCTTGCAAATACATTTTACGTGGTTGGTAGGTTTCATGATCAAATAAGAGATAAAGACAGAATAAAAGATAATTGTCATTACTTTATTGTTGACAAATTCAGGCTCAAAAAAAAATTAAGTTAATTATGGGATTAATGGACATGGGATTCAAGTTTTACACGCAAGCGTTCTTTAAGTCTTGAGACATAGCGAATTCAATGTTGGAGTCTGGCAAACATGGTGATAAATGAAAGTATAATTATATATATCAGCTGTAAATATGAGGTACTGTTGTCTTATCTCAAGAGGTTCACTAAACAGATAAAAACATGATAAAATTACTTATATTTACGGTAAATGCAACACTCGGGAAGCTCATTTTGTATAAATTTAAAACATCACTTAAATATTCTCTTACCATTTTAAAAACAATTCACAAAAGTAGGTAGCATAGTTGGTAAAGCACAGGATTTACGATCGACTCATTGCAGGTTCTATTACCCTTTAGGTTTTCTTGTGCAACCCACACTTTACAAACGAGGTATACACTTAGACCAGTATTTTAAGGACTCAACTATGACATGTCAAAGGGTTTTACAAGACATTTTCATATAATTTACACGAATGACGACAGATATAGTGCAATTTGTAGCTTAATACCCACAAAAATGGAAGTGCTTTAATGGTTAATGTGACAAATGATTAGTGATGTCATTTCATTTAAAGTACCATTTACAGATGGTAATCTGCCAATTTTAGATTCGACATTATGCCAAATTAAAATATTTAATAAATCTATGACAGCATTTTAATTTCAACACTTTATCGCACATTAACAGTTCAACGCCGATATAAAGCATTTTTTTCTTTGTCACATCTAACCGTTTAAAGCCTTCTATTATTATTATGATGTGTGCAAAATACATTTTATTGTTAACTTTAATACATTCATAAAATGAATATTGTCTTCCAATATATTTTATTACCACAAAAGCATACAGACAAAGAAAAAAAATTACAATTTCAAAACTACTAACAACAAACACTTCCATCTATATACAATATTATAAAAATACTGTCAAGTCAGACAATTTGTATAACATCGAAAATACATTTTAACTGTCCATTTTTATGCCAGTATTAATATAAAAAATACTCTGTACCAATAAAAAGAAATAAGTAATAACAGTTTTCACTCGATTCCTAAATGTTGAATTTATTTTTTGGGTTTTTAGTATTTAATTTTATTGATACAGATTATACATAACACTTAATTTTGACTTTAGAACTCATCCATTGTCAGATACAAGTTATCGAAGATTATGATATACACCTATTTTAAAATAGTAGATACGTGAACATTTTTGTTTTTAAAAATGATTAAAAGAGCAACATCCATTATACGTTTACAAAGAAATAATACCACTCTTTCATTCTGTTTTTAAACATACTCAATTGTAAATTTTTATCGTTTAATATTAATAACAAGTATATGAATCATATAAATTTTAATCACTTATTTTAACCTTATCATATACTTTCGGTATTCCGACATACAATGTCGATACATGGTAAACAGAGGACCAGCCCCTGAATTCATAAGAAGAAGTTTCTGATACGTCTTAATTAAGTAAATCAATCTTTGGCGAGCCTTCGTTTTTTCGCCGCTAACTAATCTATGCTAGCTGTTCCTAGAAAATGGAGAAAAGCGCGTCTTAACCTCGAGTACCCCACCGTAAAACAACGGCCGCGCTTAGAGGAGGTACTCTCATTGGTCTGGTTTATCAAATGACGTATTCGGTGTACTCTCCACTTTCTTTAGTACTATTTTGAATGCAAAAGTATGTTTAGGAGAAACAGACGCTGGTCGAGGAGTCTGTGGGGAACGCGGTGGAGGCTCTGGAGGCATTTCAGAGCGTGTTCGTGAACGTCGAGGTGCCGTAGGATTTCGTATCATTGCCATTACTGGAGCCGATATTGGCTCTTTTGGTCTTTGCGGAGATAGTCTATGGGGTGACAAACGTCCCGGTGACGGATCAGGAGTGCTCGGTGGAAGCATTAGTGGTGGAAGATTGGCACAAGGTGATCCACGGGAACCTCGACGTTCCTTTAAGCCCATAGGAGGCGGTGGAGAAATCGGTACCTCCTCGTCTTCAGCTGCTGCAACTACAACTAACGGTTCAGTTCTTGTCAAAGGTAACTTAGGTTCACTTGCATCTGACGTTATGGATCTTCTAAAGTAATTTAATCCATTTTCTATTTCAGCTAAAGCTCTTCTCACGAACGGGAAAGTCTCAGAAATTTCTGATGTAGATTTACGCACTGGAAATTCTGTTTCACTATCACGTTTCTTTGGTCTACAACGCTCGAACGTAGGGTCCCCTGAACCTCCCACTGTTTCAGAGATTTGTCTAGTAAGAGCGGCATGTTTTATCGAATCCGACTTAGAGCGAGGCTCTCTCGTCTTTGGCGTCGGAGAACGTCGGTCACCAAACTTTTTGCTGGCGGCACGTTTAATAGACGAAAATAGTCCAAGTTTTTCCGGCGGTTTGTCCGCTAGAGGAGGACCAGGTTGAGGAATAACAGGAGCAGAGGAAGGGCCTGGGAGGGGTTCGGGTGCGGGACGGGAAGGGGGGTTCCCCTCGCGTTAGTTGTGCCGAGAGTCCGATGACGGAACATCGCTGGAGCCGGTAGAAGAGAGGGTGGTGTTAGACCCATAGGGGTCGAGCGATGACTGCACGGACATAGAACGACCAGCACGCCGCACTCGCGCCGGGGACAGTTTACCCGGATCTATGCTGGCCGGGTCTGCCTGCAACAATAGCGTTTTCAGCACTCTATTCATTGTAAAACGGTACTATTAATATATTGTACATGTCTTTGTATAAATTTATAGTGCTCAGTGGCAGGTAGAAAAAAATTTAATGCATTTGACCTGCTCGGAACAATCAGTGTTATTAACTAAATTGCAATTCCAAATCTACTATATATACCCATATATATGGTGTCATTTTGACATTTCTTATGTAATACTGGATAGCAGTTTAAAAAATATAAAGTATAAAGAACAATGGCAGAAACATATTTACCTAAAACTTAAGCGTTTAAAAAATCGAGTCACAGTAAACTTAATCAAATTTTTTTCTATGATTTATCATTACTCCACCATGTGTTGTATAAGTCTTATAAGAGATAAGATATTTTTGAAGATTTTATTTGACCTAAGTACCTAATGTCAGATTCGCCATCACGTATAATTGACTAGGGATGCGTGGTGGCAATATTATATTATGGAACAATTTATCGATAATCGATTCTTATAGCTTTGGCTGAAATATTTACCGAAGGTTCACTATTATGATTATGAATTTGCTTCTGCCCTCGTCTTCACTCGTACGGTAGAGTGACTGAATCAACATAATTAGAAATGATTTAAAATATTTTTGACTCTCTTTAAACGATTTTAAACACACTAAAGAAATAGAATATAGTTACGTTATTTTCCACTACACAGTGTGATGAGAAAAATACATTGTCATTGATAACGGCACATAAATAGACACACATCGATATTTTCAAAATGTCGATACGTCGTCGTTTAGTACATATCTCTTAATCTGTGGTTTAGATCCTGTCAAGTTCCGGACTCACCACGTTTGTTATTTTATTTTTGTTTAATTTAGTGTTAAACTCGAATAGATGTTATGCTTTTATTTTTTTTATTTCATATACTGTAATAATAATGAAAATAATATTTTCGGCTATCTGACACACAACGCCATCTAGTTTCAAACAAAACATTAACAATATGTTAGTACTTAACCTCGAAACATTCAAAATCCAATATCTTTTTTCCTAGACTTCTTTCGCAAGTAATTTTGATATGAGAATGGTCAAGAATAAATTCTCAAGTGTTAAGGATTTTTTGATATTTAAACGCTAACATTTCAGTTCAAATAAAATTATGTATGGGGACCTGCCATTGTCCTTTGTATATTAAAAATGATCTCATCCCTGAAAAGATAAACATATTTGATATATTTTCAATTACACAATTTAAATTTGACCGGAAAAGATGTAATTATATGTCAATAAATCTACCCTTTATATCCACCCATCTAGCCAGCGTGGTATGGTAGGCTAAAACCTCCTTTCTAATTAGAGGCCTATGTCCAACAGGGGACTGTTATAGGCTGTTGATGATGATGATGATGAAAGCTACCCTTTTCACATCGTATTTCTCAAATATGCATGTATAATACTAACGTAAAAATGGTGTAGGTACTAATAAAAAGTAATTTATCTATTCTATTCAAATTTAGCTTAGCTTACGTAACTTTTTAGTTTGTTAAGAAACGTAGTTCGTCCTTTCATTAATAAATAATTTATACTATTTAATGAAAGAATAGATTGAAAACACTATCTAAAGAAATTAACAAACCAATAAAAAAATAACCAGATAATTAGATAATTTAAATCAGATAATTTATATTATGAGTTTTTATTATGATCAATAGAATTTTGATTTCTCCCAAGCCCTATTAATGATTTTAAAACAGCAAAATATTATTGCATAAACATGAACTATATGGAACAAGATATTTTAAGTGAAGTATATGTTTGGTTTTTCTAGGAACCCCTAATCTAGGTAAATAAAATAACTCAGTCGCTACTGATCCTGTGTCGAGCAATGAAAGTGCGGGTGCTGAGGAATATTGGAAGCATTAAAAACATACAATTATATGCCTGCATTAAATTAAAGTCTAACTTTCTAACGATATGCGGTCTGTTTAGACACGATAGCCTATGCTACTAGGCATGTATTGTAAACGACACCACTGAACCATACTACTGGGCTGTCGATAACATTCTTTTTTTGTTAACGGCAGTACCATAAAGTTGTTCTAAGACAAAACTTATGCATTTATCGATATCAATTATTTTTCATTCGTGAGATCACGACCATTTTAACCATTTTATAAAGGCTTTTCCAGAAGTTCCTTTAAAGATAGCAGATGAAATAAACTAAGATACGGTGAAAAAACTGAATAGTTATTGTATATTATCGGATCAAATTTCATAAATTAATTTAGTTGTTTTTGTTGTAATGGATACAATTGTTATGTTTTACTAATCCCTGGTGACGTGATCAATTGCAACATTATCATAAAAAAAATTGATTTGTTTTATTTCACGTTAAACATCACTAGTCAGCAATAGTGTCGCTAATAAAAAATAATTGTAAACGACACCCCAGTGGCACAATACACGCTGCTAGGATATCTCCTATCGTTAATATTTAAATATATATTGATTTTTTATGCCTTCATGCACAAATACATACATCGGCAGACTTAATGCCAGAGGCATTCTCCGCCAATCGACCGATTGGGCGACGCAGATAAAGAATTAGTTATGGGGAGGTAATAACGAATAGAATTTTTATTAACTACCAACTATTGTTAAGTACCAAATATTGTGACTCTAAATCGCACCTGATATGCCAAAGCATTCATGATGATGGAATAGGGCACCAAACCAAGTGGGTGGACCTCCCTCATCAAGACATTCGCAGGAATCTTGTGGAAATGGATGTACTCCAAGAAGTTACCGATGACGTCCTTCAGGATCATATTCGGGTTTGTGTCGCAGTACTTCTTGCTCCACATGAGTGCAGCCTGGAAATTTAAGGAATGAATAATTTATTTTTCTGTTGGTAATATTTAAGGTATCTTTTACACGTTTTGAAGTTTACCACAAGATAAAAATAGTTTAAACATAGGCTGCAATAAATGTGTATTTTAAAGGAAGTCTATGTGCCACCTTAGTGCTAATAAAATTATTCGCAAAAAATTGTTGTATTCTATTATATGATTTATGTTCAAGTGACTGTGTTCGTAAACAGGCACAAAGTTTAATGGGCAATTTGTCACTGATATTTATAAATGCTTTTTCAACACTATATACTACTAATCTATATAGTACCTAACTGCTGTCTAACTATAAGTCTTTTGAAGGATATAGTGACTGGACTAGGAAGTCTGACCCACTATCTTAATAGATACATTAATAAAAAAAAAACAGTTTGAAACACCAGCATTACATTTTATGTTAACAATTAACATTAAAAATAAAACAATTAAAATAAACTCTATTGTTCATTCCTTACTTTTACACCCTAAGGGTAGTTCTTTTTCTTCAAATTTGAATGAAGTAGAATAGAAAATATGCCCTCCTAAATTAAAAGATGTTAATTTCCACAGTTTTTCTGTTTGTAATATTTATTGAATAATAATAAATAATGCACCTGAAATTTTGTGAACTCATCCGCTCGAAGTTCATCTCTCGCCAATATTAGCCTGACAACATGCTGCGGTAGCAACGTAAATGATCCAAGGTTTAGCACTTCGTTGCCGTGCTCGTCTACGAATTCCAACACCTGGAAACATTAAAAAAATAAAATATTGATACGTACGTCCGTTTAGACCGTATTCGGCCGCGGTGACTTGGAACTGATTAATGAGAGTTTTGTTGATGTGTTCTCAGGTGAGTAATAAGCCTGATTTTTGCCGTGAACATGCGTCCACATTCACTGCAAGACAGCACCCCGCTCCTGCTATAATTATAATGTATAGCCGCCGGTGATCGGGCCTTGAACTCATCCCGTTTGTTGCATCGAGTTGCGTCAAGTTAATCTTTCCGTTTTGACATTTTTATTAACATTTTTGTTTTAGTAATGGCTCAATCGATTTTTATTGTCGCGTGAATGTTTTTAAATAGATTTGTTTTTCAAATACCATAAGTCGTAATAAGCTAGTATCGGAAGCCTACTGCTACTAGTGTAGATTTTAGACTTACGTACACGTAATATTTGTCTTGAATGAATTGAACTTCCCTGAATTGTTTAAATTGAAGTTTATGCAAGCAGCCCATTCCATATGTGTGTGTTACAAATGCTGATTTAAGTTGAAATAATCAAATACCCACCTTTTGTACTAGCGACTTGGTGCACTTGTACTGTATATATCTCTCAGCAGATGCAAGAAGAGCGCATACTGTATCAACAGTAATGCAACATTGTACGAATCCAGCACACGCACGTCTCAATTCATCCAGTCCGTAGTAATCGGCAGCGTTCATCACACCTGGATGGTATTAATAATCTTTAATAAAGTTATAGTCATATCGCGTTAAGAAAATAGTGACGCAATAGTGACTTTCGTTAAAAGCAATAATTTCTTGGAACATGATCGGTCAGGGGGCGGGGCTTGATCGAAGCGTTACTATTTTCGTAACGCGAATAGACTGTACCTATACAAATAAATAAAATTGAAGTGTCTGTTTGTAATGTCAAAATAATAGTTTTTTTTTTCATGCTCACACGGTCATTTGCACGATACCTATGTCTAAAAACAAGTTTTTTTTGTCTGTCGGTCTGTCTGTTTGTTCCGGGTAATCTGCGTACGTATAGTACTACACCGCTAAAGCAGCACAGGGCCGCCATTAGCTGTTCGAGCGCCCGCAAGCAATTCCGATGAAGCCGCCCTTTTTTCCGTGCGGAAATCGCTCTTTCGGACATCTTCTACCGGACAGCCTGCAGGGTGGTTTTGAATTTCATTGCCGATCAATTTTTATCCTTATTTCAATAAGTTTAGAAATCATATTACTTAATTTCGATACAATTATACCGCGGCATGTTGTGGGATGTCGCGGGACGCCGCAGCATGTTCTGTCATGCGGTTTCATTCTACAGATTATCATGCCACCATATGCCGCAAGTTACATAGGAGTATAGTATATATAAATACGGCTTACAGTTGATCTCCTAACCTCAGGAAACCGTGGTCACTAACCACGATTTTCCCTCAATGACCCTAAAGAAGCTCCCGAGCGCGTCGCGTCGCCACCTGTCACCCCTAGGTCCAGGCTCGTCGCTTATACCTTAACCACGCGCCCGCATATTGAGGGAATCAAATTATACATACCTACGTTTAATAAAGTAATTCGAACCCTATAAACATTTGCATTTATTTTCGTACACCGATCAATATATGTTACTATGATGAGATGAAAATACATTAGACATGCAAATTATGAGAAAGTTTCGTTTTCGTTTCGATTTCTGTTTGCGCCGACCTCTTGAATTCCGCTCGTGTGCGGTGCACGCTTTGCACACCCATACCCGGCGGCCCTGAGGCAGCGCTTTTCAAACTCCACGCGAAAGAAGTCGCGGATACCAGCTGGTATTACATAAAACTGAAAACTAGAAAGTTTTCGGGTTCGCAACCCACAAACCCTCGCAAATCAAGATTCACAAGTCCGTTGCCACTCTTTAAGTCATCCTCTCTCAATACCAGGACAATTGGGCGTTAGGACTCCAGTAATGTCACTGTCTCCGTGAAAAGCAACGACAAATTGCTGAACACTAGTCTATAATTTCATTTATAGTTACGTCTGTTTACGTCAAGTAATAAGGTACATCTGCAGTATATTTTTGTGCTTTAATACTTAATAGATCATTTATTACCTAATAGAAAATAGATTTTTCTATAATTAGTTTAAAAAAACACCGAGGGTTCCGTACAAATTTGTAACATATAATATATATACATCATAAAATAATTAAAAATCTGTTTAAGCTTATGCCAATGAAGCCCGTTTATACCCTACATGACACAGTTAACTCAGTTCAAAATTAAATTACATAGCTTTCAGATTTTTCCCTATACTTGTAGTATAAGATGGTATTACTTGCCAAATTTCATAGTTCTAGGACTGTAGCAGGTCTACATATCAGTATATCGTCTTAATTTCATCTCGATGCCTCCACGCGTTCCCCAGATAAAAGGTCTTGACAGACAGACAGACGGACGGACGGACGGACAACAAAGTGATCCTATAAGGGTTCCGTTTTTTCAAACAAGCAAATTATTACGGTAATTCAGATGTAGTGATCATTAAAACAAGACAGCTGCACGGACCCGCTACCCATGTAAATGTAATTATGGATTAATTTCTGTAACGAATTCTTCAACCACCCGCTATCGGAATAGTTTGTATAAATGACTAGCTATTGCCTGTGTCTCGCATGGTTTTTTTTAACTCGTATTTCTAACTTTGAAACTGACAAACTTCCATTCAAGCGTTCATCCCTTTTTTCCCACTTAGGGGTAAACTTTCCAAAAATTCTTTCTGAATGGGTGCTTACAACATAAAAGGCATCACCTGCCAAAATTTTAAGTTTGTAGCTTCAATGATTTAGGCTCTACGTTGAAGAATCAGTCAGTCAGTCAAAGGTAATGTTAGATGAATAGATAAATAACTGTCCATACATTATCATTAATGATATTTTTTAAACGAGAGAAAACAAACATATGTTATGCTAATAGTAACTGAACATGAATATTATAAGTACCTGCTCTAAATGTAAATTCTAAAAGACGGGGATGCGACTTTACGACCGATATGCGATGTCATAAGATGACAAGAATTTATCACAAACCGACTCAAAATATATATTCTGATATTTACTTATAAGCTAGTACTCTAATATTTTTCTTCTACGAGAATAATTCTTTGTACAGTCGCAAAGTGACAAAATATTAAGCGTTTTTGTCTTTTCTTATAAGAATTAAGAGATTACAATTTTTTGACCATAAGAAGATTCCATAATCTCTTATTACCGCAAACATTTTTATTTTATAAATGTACAGTTAGGGAATTTATTCAAAGCTGACCTTTAGATGTTTAAAAAAAGATTTAGGATATTGGAGTGCAAAAATAAATTCTGCGATTCGCCCACACTTAAATAGAGAACACCTACAAGGTTGTGAGCTAATTTTATTTAAAAAAACGAATTGAGAACTTCAAGAAAGTTATTTTAACTATAAATTGCTAAATACGAAATAACTAAAATTATAATTTAAAATATAGTTAAATTGTTTTCTATTTTTGAACTGTATATTTAAGTTTGTACTGTACATAATCTTTTGTACTGTACATCATTAAATTCTATAAGGACATACAAATTTCTAGAATGATAAGGATCAATACCAACCCAAGGCCACTACTGCCAAATAAATTTCAATCCCTCTCATTTTTTCAGATATTAATAATACTGTCGTAATGTTCTCGTAAATGGGAAGAGGACATTTTGTCAAATGAAATGCCAATAAAAAAACTTACACAGAAAATAAAATTCAATCTTTCTATAACATAAATAAGTACGTCAATATTCCTGTCAAAAGCTTAGATGGTCAATCGAGGCCGCCCTCAAATTCATTTTCCTTTATATATATTATTATTATAGGCCATAAAATCATTTTGGTAAATCGCCTTTCACTCTTCGCTTCAACGCTTTACTGAATCGTAAGATGTGTGATCTAAATTCATTTGTATATAACTACAATATAGCATGTTAAATTACTTAGTATTCTACCCTATTTATTAATCAAAAACGATTAGTCTTCGTATAATATTTAATTGTAGTATTTTTATCATTCTTCTATGATTTTAATTAGGTTATGAATTCATATGTAGACAACAAAAGGCAAAGCACTGAAAAGAGACCTGTGCAGTAGAAGCCTTAATGAGTCAGGGTAAATTAGATAAAGCGTGTGGTTTAAAAAAGCAATTAGATAACAAACTTGAATCGAAAAGTACAGCAATTTTAAATGAGATTCGTAAAATATTAATTAATGGTAAAGACAGCTGAACGTTGGAAAAGGTACATAGAAGGTTTGTATAGAGGTTAAAGAATGAAGGAAAATGACAGAAAAAGAAGAACTTGTAGTAAAAGACAAATTAGGCCCTTCAATAATAAAAGAGGAATTTATTAAAGCTCTTAACTCTATACAAAATGTAAAAGCTCCTGGTTATGATCTCTTATAAATAGAACTTATTAAATACGCTGAGTGTGATCCACGAAACAAGATTTCTGGATTAGTAGAATAGTTATCTTACTGAAAAAACAAAACACCCTTAAATATGAAAAACACCGAATCCTTATCTTAGTTTCTCAAGCATCAAAAAGACTTCTAAAAATAGTTCAAAATAGAATAAAACCGCATATAGAGAACTACTTAGGGTCTGATCAATATGGTTTATGACAAGATAAAGGTACAAAAGAAGCTATACTAGCCCTACGGTTAATTATAGACAGACGTCTGGATTTAAGCCATTCAACATTTATAGCCTTTTATTGATCTAGAGAAGGTATTCAATAAGGTAAACTATACAAAAATGATCGACATTCTGAAAGGAGCAGGCGTGGCCTATAGAGACAGGCAAATAATTTATGAATTATATAAAAACCAGCAAACAATAATAGATGTGGGAGGAGATAAACAATTAGCAACTATTAAGCAAGGAGTAAGACAGAGGTGCATTCTGTCACCCTTAATTTTTAATATTTTTATGGAATATGTCATAAGGAATATAGTACAATCAGGTAAAGAAGGGGTTAAATTTAATTGGGAAACCATACCTACGCTTTATCAGATTTGTAGATGATATCGCAGCAGTAGCCAACAATATAAACAATTTAGTACAACTTCTAACAGTTATGAATGAAACTTTGAAAGCTTTTGGATTAAATATAAACTTCAATAAAATATAATTCTAATTACCTTAAAATTCTTATCTTTAGAAAGCTTTAAATATTTAGGTAGCTCAATAACTAGATGTTCCTCCAGACAAGATTCTAGATGTTCCTCAGACATAGTAGAGAGACTCGCAATTGCCAAAAAAGCATTCAATCGCAAGAAACACCTGTTCAAGGCCAAGATCAACACCGAAATAAGAAAACAGCTCATCAAGGCATATATATGGAGGATTGCACTTAATGGCTTCGAAACGTGGACCCTGACCCAAAGAGACAGAGGCAGATTAGCAGCATTTGAAATGGGTGCTGTAGGCGAATGATGAACATCAGTTGGACAAAAGAACCAATGAAGCGGTCCTGCTGATGGTGAGCGAAGTGAGGCAATTGTTGAATGCCATTGAAAACAGAAGATGCAAAATGGTTGGCTACCTGAGGAGACAAGACAACGTCTTCAGATAAATACTGTAAGGAAAATAGAAGGAAGAGAAACGAGGACGGCCTAGATCAACATACATGCAGCAAGTGAAGGAGAATGTAGGAGTC